TGTAATCCCAGCACTTTGGGAGGCCGAGGCGGGCGGATCACGAGGTCAGGAGATCAAGACCATCCTGGCTAACACGGTGAAATTCTGTCTTTACTAAAAATACAAAAAAGTAGCTGGGCGTGGTGGCGGGTGCCTGTAATCCCAGCTACTTGGGAGGCTGAGGCAGGAGAATGGCATGAACCTGGGAAGCGGAGCTTGCAGTGAGCCGAGATCGCGCCACTGCACTCCAGTCTGGGTGACAGAGTGAGACTCCATCTCAAAAACAAAAAGAAAAAAAAAAAAGAAAGAAAGGAAAGGACAGTTTTTCCAACAACTTGTGAAAGGAGAAAATGTAGAATGAGAAATGTTGGGCTAGGACTGAGGGTCCCTCCCCTCTTTGGCCCTCCCCTCTTAGTCCTTAGGTCAAGGTGTAAGTATTGCAATCTGGCCACAGGCAGAGGAAAAAGAAACACAGAAGTAACAAATGATATGTCAGAAGACAGTGGGGAAAGCAGGAGCGATGTGTCAGGGAGCCAGGGAAAGGGACAGTCAACTGTGGCAGCTGCCCCAAGTGGCCAAGGAGGATTAAGAATGATAAAAGGCACCCATGCGTGATTCAAACAGCTCTTATCTGTTGAGGATGATACATACTGGTTCATGTGCTTTTCACAGGGTGAGCAAAAAGGATTTTGATCTTGACTAAGAGCAATGAAAAGCTACTAAAATAGTTTAAGCAGGGGTGAGTGGGTGAAGCGCAGTGACACGGCAGGTTTTAGAGGGTGGTGATGATTGCATTTGGTGATGAGCTTGTGATACTGGAGATAAAAATTTCAGTAGAGTTGGAGGAAAGGAAGGGCAAAGAGGCAGGAAGTGTGACATTTGGAAGAGAATGTAAGGAAATGGTGGGAGGCAGGAAGGTTCTGAGGTATAAAAGAATGAATTTGGAGACCCAACTACCCAAACTCTGGCTCTGGAATACTTATTTACTCTTTCCGTATCTCAGTTTCCTATCTTTAAAATGGGGGTAACAGTATTCACCTTGCACGATGTGTGTGTGCACGCACGCATATTAAACGAGTTAATAAACATAAGAAACTTAGGACAGTGCCTGGCACATGATAATCCCTCAAGAAATGTTAGATATTACTATCGTGTTCTAGGAGTTTGGCACAAACAGAAGAGGAATGAGGTGGAATTTTTTGAGGACAATCAAATCAAAGCATGTTGTTGTTAGGTTGAGCCCTCTCTCTGGTGCTGGCAGGTGGTAAGGTGGACCAGATGGCCCTGCTGATGCTCTTTGTCTATGACCACATACCTTTGGTGGCTCTGTGGTCATCTTGATGCTGGCCTGCAAGATTGAGATAGGGAAGTCTGGGTGGGGGCTGGAGCTGAGCCACAGGCGGAAGGATGGATGAGGGTCCTCCACCTGCAGCTGCTCCACCAGCTTGTCCAGATTAGGCATCCAAGACAGTGACAGGTGGCAGTTTGCCAGGAACACCCAATGTCCTGCAAGGAGATGCCAGGCTCAGTGGGAATCATTTCCTAAGCCCCTGCCTGTCCTCATGCTTTCCATCTGGTATTGGGGCGGGGGTGCTAGCGGGGCCGAACACTCAGATCTGCCACTTCTGGGACCCTCTGTAGAAGTGGGAGGTACAGGGACAGTAGTGTATTTGAGGTTGGCAGTTCTAAGGACAAGGACTGGGCTGAAGATGGGGGTGAAAGAAAGGATGGACACCAACCCTGAGTAACACCCTCTCGGAGGAGTCGGGCAGCGATAGGGGCCTGGCCCTGGCCCAGGGACAGGGCGTGGAAGCGCTGGGCCATGCCTGTGTGCTCTGCCAGCTGGAGCAGGGCACTGGTGGGGTCCACACCAGGGGACAGGATGAACACGAGTGGGGATCGTGGGGTTGAATCCTCCATCACCTGCCAGAAGCACAGGTATAGCATCAGGCAGAAGGCCACGTGACCGAAGTGGAAGAGAGAGATGCAGGAGACTGAAACAGAGCTAGGAAGGCAGGAAAGACCCAGGGGCCGTGGAGACAAGGAAGCTGAGCCACCGACCAACTTCATATTCAGCACAGGCGGCTCGATGAAGCGGGAACCAAGGTTGGTGACGATGAAGGAGGTCACGCAGAAGGCCACGCGGTCCTGGCGCAGGGAGCGGACGATCAGCATCCGTTGCATTTCGTTGCAGGCATTTTCCCACTCACCTGGGGACGAGGTGAGTCATTGCAGGGAGAGGGAGTGAGTCTGGAAGAGCGGGGAATCCAGACAACAGGGCACCTGCCGGGAATGTGCTCCGGGCCAGGAGGCCGGCACCAGCTGGGAGAGGGGATGGGGGACAACGGGAAGGGCAGGCATGCGGCTGAGTGGAGGGAAGCAGAAAGTGAGAGTGGGGTACAGATGCCTGGTACCTGGCAGCATTGCCTTCTCCGGGGCAGCATTGGTATACCACAGGTGCCAGTCGCGAGGGTACTGCTCAAAGGAGTTCATGAGTCCGTGGAAGTTGGTCAGTTTGTCCAGCTCCGTAATGTTATCCCAGTAGGCGTCTGCAAGCCAGCTAGTACATGGGTTGTCCATTTGGCCCTCCCGATCCAGGACCTGGTGGGAGTGGGGGAAAAAGAAAGGGATTGACTTGGGAATACTTCAAAAGAAGAGTGATCTTTTTCTCCTTTCTGTCTCTCTCTCTCTCTCTCTCTGTTTCTCTCTCTCTCGGTGGGAAAGCCAAAATGGAGGGTTTTTTGTTTTGTTTTGTTTTTCTTCTTTTCTTTTTTTTTGAGATGGAGTCTCATTCTTGTCACCTAGGCCAGAGTGCAATGGTGCAATCTCGGCTCACTGCAACCTCTGACCCCCAGGTTCAAGCTATTCTCCTGCCTCAGGCTCCGGAATAGCTGAGATTACAGGTGCACACCACCACACCCAGCTAATTATTGTATTTTCAGTACAGATGGGGTTTCACCGTATTGACCAGGCTGGTCTTGAACTCCTGATCTCAGGTGACCCACCCTCCTCGGCCTCCCAAAGTGCTGGGGTTACAGGTGTGAGCCACCGCGCCCGGCCCAAAATGGGTTTTATATGAGAGTGAAGAGATGAATACAGGGATCCTGGGGAATAAACGTGGGGGTCTAGGACTCAGACCCTGCCCTTAGCCCTCACGGTTCAAATTTAGGAAGCTGGCGCCCTCTGCTGGTTGCCTGGTAATAATGTCTCCAACCTAATGACTTCTTGGTAGCCTGGCCTTCATAGAAGCACAAACTGTTTACTCATTCATTTGCTCACTCGCTTATTCATTCTTCTTAACAAACATTTATTGTTCACCAACTATGCATTTTAATCATTGGGACGCATTACTGAGCAAAATGGAAAATATGTCTGCCCTTGGGGATTTTGTTTTCTAACATGGGATTGTGAACCCATGGGCAGACTATGAACCAAAAACGTAACAAATAAGTAAATTATCTAGTATAGCAACGATGGCAGTGCGATGGAAAAATAGGATACTCTGAGGAGGGTAAGGGAGACTGGTTGTGTTGAGGGGAGTTTGAAGTATAAATAAGAAGATCTAGGTCGCACTGAGGTGAGGTTTGAAGGAGATGAGAGACGGCCAGGTGCACACGCCGGGGAGTAGGCTTCCAGCAGAAGGCACAGCCACGCGAAGGCCCCGAGGTGAGACGTGCCGGGGGGTTGGGGAGGGCAATGAGGCCTGCATGGCTGGAGTGGAGTGGGGGCTGTGTGGTGGGAGGTGGCGCCTGCCATTGGGAGCCCGTCACAATGGCATCCACTTTAAAAGGACCTCTCAGGCCGGGCAAAGTGGTTCACACCTGTAATCCCAGCACTTTGGGAGGCTGAGGTGGGAGGATCACTTGAGCCCAGGAGTTCGAGATCAGCCTACGCAACATGGTGGACGCCGCCTCTACAAAAACTACAAAAATTAGCCAGGCGTGGTGGCACAGGCCTGTGGTCCCAGCTATTCCAGAGGCTAAGGTGGGAGGATGGCTTGAGCCCGGGAGGTCGAGGCTGCAGTGAGCCAAGATCACTGCCCCTGCAGTCCAGCCTGAGTGACAGAGCGTGACCTCTCTGGTTGCTGTGTTGAGAGTTTGGCGTGAGAGGCGGGAAGTGAAGGTGGGAAAAGTAAAGAAAATGTTGTCTAGGAGGGCGGGAGAGTGCAGTATGGTTGTCCAGAAGCCTTAAGGGCCTCCTTGGGGTTCATGATCATGGACTTAAAGCGTGTTCAGTCACTGTGGATGTGTTCTTCCCCGGCCATGTTCAGTGCACGGGCCACGCAGGGACAGAGGGGCAGAGGAGCTGGAGCTAGCCAGAGTGATAGACGCAACAGAGAGAGGAGGAAAATGGGGGTTGGGGAACCTGTGAGGGAGAGATTGTGAGGGCGACCATGGAACTCAGGCTAGGGAAGGAGTGTCTTGAAAGGCAGTAAAAAAGTGGCAAAATCAGGCCAATCTGTGGGTCACAGGTGAGACATGCCACAAAGCCCAGCCTGTGCTGAGTGCAAAGGGGCGCATAGCAAGTCACCTCCGCAGCCCCAGGGAGCTCACCATGCACCTGATGCTGGCCTGGATTTTCTCAGCTCACTCACTGATGCCGTGGGCCTGACCCTCTGGGTCTGGAGTCCTTGACACACTTGACCTTGACCATCCCCAGCCTTGACCATCCCATCCTGGGATGTGCTCTCTGCCCAACTCACCACACCCCCACGTAGAAAGAAGTTGTATTCATCCATGTTGAGCTTGCCAGAAGTCTCCAATATTTTGGCACACATATGAAAACTGAATAGTAGTTTGTGGCGTTCAAAAAGGGTACGGCAGGTGTACCTGGGAGAAAGGCAGGGAGGAGGGAGGGACAGGATGGAATGGGGGCCGATGCTCCACACGAATGCTATGATCCTACTATCACACAGCCTCACACAGAGGACCTCACCAGCCTCTAATCCTAACCTCCTGGAAACAGCCAAGGACTCAGGGGCCTAGAGATAATAATTTCCCAGAGTTCACTTATTATTATTATTATTACTTTTTGAGACTGAGTTTCGCTCTTGTCGCCCAGGCTGGAGTGCAATGGCACGATCTTGGCTCACTGCAACCTCCGCCTCCCAGGTTCAAGCAATTCTCCTGCCTCAGCCTCCCGAGTAGCTGGGATTACAGGCGTCCATCACCACGCCTGGCTAATTTTTGTATTTTTAGTAGAGACAGGGTTTCACCAGGTTGGCCAGGCTGGTCTTGAACTCCTGACCTCAGGTGAGCCGCCCACCTCAGCCTCCCAAAGTGCTGGGATTACAGGAGCGAGCCAACGTGCCCAGCCATTCACTTATAATTAGTCATTCAGTTCCATTAAAAAAACAAACATTCATTTTTCCCCTACTATCTTGCCAGGCACTCTGCTAGGTCCTGAAGACACAAAGATGAATAAGCCGCAGTCTCGGAGAGGACAGAGAGGCTATTGGTTATGATGTCCCTGCCTGCTGGACTCAGGGAAAGTTTCCGAGAGGAGCTGCTCCAAGGTGCAGCAGAGTTTTCTGGTGGCATGGGAGAGGCAGAGAGGTCACAGCATCAGCAAAAGCATGAGATGGGCACAGCATGCAGGGCAGTCAGGGATGCTCAGGCACCCAGTGCAAAGTGGGAAAGGTGAGGCTGAGGCAGGAGAAGGCCAGGTCATGAGGGCTTTCGTGGGCCACCGGGATCAAGCAACCAACCACTGGCAGTCAGACCCGGGAAGCAGCATGGTCGGATTTGCTCAGATGGGCAATGCAGGAGGGTAGGTTGAGAGGGACAGTGGGTAGAGGCAGGAGGACCTCTAGGAGACCATTGTGCAACTCAGAAAAAAGGATCACCAGGGCCAGAGCTAAAATACAGCCAAGCAGTGGGAAGATGGGGAGGGAACAGTTTGCAGAAATATTCATGAACAAAACCCGGTGAGTGCTTTGAAAGGGAAGAGTCAAGGATAGCTCCCAGTTTTTGCCAGGCATGGTGGCTCACGCCTGTAATCCCAACACTGTGGGAGACCATGGCAGGAGGATCCCTTGAGCTCAGGAGTTGGAGACAAGCCAGGGCAACATAGGGAGACCCTGTCTGTACAAATAAAAATTATAAAAAATAAAGGATAACTCCCCATTTCTGGCTAGGGTGACTGGGTCGTGGGCGTTGGTGCCATCCAAGGATGAGGAATCTGAAGAGGGAAGAGAATGAGTTGGATCTGAAGCGAGTTGAGCTTGAAGGGTCTGTGGGATGTCAGGGTAGAGAAGTCCAGTTCCTTGCTACTCAAATGTGATCCATAGACCAGGAGCAGTGGTAGCCCCTGGGACCTTGTTAAGAGTTGCAGAACCCCAGGCCCCACCCCAGACCTGCCAAATCCTAACCAGTATTTTCACAAGATTGCCAGTGTGCTACCTGCCCGTTAACGTTTGGACAGTGCTGGTATCGCCAACAGTTGTGTAGACAAGTCCAGTGCTCAAGGGAGGGCTACAGACAGAAGATGGGGAATCGTCAGCCCACAGGTGATGGTTAAGCCATGAGAGCCAGGAGCTACCGGGAGGACATGTGCCGAGGGACAGCAGCAGGCTGAGAGCCGCAGCGTGGGAAAGCATGAAGGCGCAGTGGCCAGAAGAACCACGGCCACTCGGCCTCCGGGCTGGGGCATATTGGGGGCACCCTCAGACCTGTAGACAGCGTAGGTGTGGTAGTCGTTCAGATAGTCAATGCGGTCCTCCAGCTTATTGCTGCGGTGGCTCTTGTCGATGCTGAGGATGAAGAGGCTGATGTAGGCATCCAGTGAGAACTGGTACATGGGGTCGATGCAGCCCATATCATTGAGCACGAAGAACAGGATTGATGCCCGCTGGGCACACGGGCGGTAAGCCTGCCAGCGGGGGAGTGGAATCAGGGCCACCGAGGGACATGGCAGGGAGCAGGGGCTCAGGGAAGGAGGGGTCTCGAGCCGTCATGATGGAGTTGCATCTTGGATGGCTGGCGGGAGGCAGGGCTGGAGGGCCAGGAGCTTACCTCCCGGGCCAAGTCAATGTTGATCTCTGTGGTCTCACTGGTCTCCAGCTGCTCAGTCACCTCTGTGGCCGTGATCTTGGAGGTCTGCAGCGTGTTCACCAGCTGCACGTCATCCAGCAGGGAGCCGGTGGCCTCATTCAGCAGCCTAGGGGGAGGCCCAGAGGCACATGGAGCAAGGGGTTAGGGGGACCAGGCTCCCTGGGATGCTGTCGTGCCTGGGGTAGACTGGGTAGAGGCTGGCTGGGAGTAGACCTGTGGGGCGGTGGGAGGGGGAGGCAGGGCCTCACCGCAGGATCTCATCCTCCAGCTCCTTGAGCTTCCTCTTGCCAGCCGCGATGTTGATGACCAGTGAGTCCTTCTGCTCCTCCAGCTCAGGCCGCTCCTTCCTCACCACGATGCCCAGCAGCTGGGCCTCCAGGCCCTGGGACATCAGCACTCACAGTGAGGGGCTCTCACCCCTTTGACCTTCACCTTCCTCATCCCTTTCCACCTCGAAAGACCCATCATCCTCAGCTGCCCAACACAAGCTTATCCCTTTTCTCAATCCTTCCCAATTCTTCCTGCTTCACCCTAGCTCAGTCTGGACCTCAGCCTGCACCCACCTGTTCTTTAACGGCAAAGTTAACGACGGTGGTCTTGGCTGAGGTCTCTGGGCTGTAGTGGGGGTTGGAGAGCTTGGTGGTGATGTAGAAACGGAAACTGGTATTGTATTCCACCTCCTTATCGCCAATGCGCATCAACAGCCGACCACCTGCATCCACAGAATGGTCAGGGGCAAGGACTCCATGTGACAGGTACCGGCTAACCCGTCCCCCACCGGCATCCAGGGGCAGTGACTCGGCCTGTCCTAAGGCCCCAGCCCAGGGCTGTCTGAACAGAGGGACAGGTAAGAACAGGACACAGTCAGAGAGCCAGTCCTTCCCTCCCTGGCATCCCACTCGGCTGGTCTTGGGGACTTGTCCTGACCGATTCGGGCTACAGATTTGTTGAGCACGGGGTTGAGTGTGGGGTCCAGATATTCCTGCACATTCTGAAGTAGCACAGGGTATCCAAACTGAATGGCGTTTTCTAGGATTCGCAGGTAATCGCTCATCTGCAGGTCAATGATCTTCAGGCCCTAGAGAGCAAGGGGGAAGGTGAAGGAACACTGCGGGAGAGGTGGGGCCTCAGGAAGAGGGGGACTAATCCGGCCCCCGAGCCTCACACCTGGCCTCCTTCCATGTTCTTAATCCATTTCAGGGCCTGGGCCTGAGGGTCGATCATCAGTGCCCACCTGGAGGGGGAGTACAGGTCAGAGGCGAGGCCCTCTCTCCCACGCCACCCCCACGCCCAGCAGCACCTTACCTGTTGCCTCGGGTGACGATGATGCCGTTCTCCGTGGAGAAGGCATCTGAGGGCAACCCTTGGATGTTCCAGTCCCGGACTTTGGTAGGATTGGACAGGAAGTTATCAATGGCGAAGGAAGGGGAGCAAGGAACCTGAAGCTCCCAGATCTGAGGAGAGAAAGGCCCCAAACTTAACTTGAAGAGCTGAGCCCAGCAGCCCCTGCGTCTTCACGCTATCTCTTAATATTTCCAGAGGTCCTGCCCCCAGCCCTGGTTTCGGAGCTCGCTTATCATACCTGAGCCCCATCTCACCTTCCGGATCCAGATTTGGTTGACAATCTCATCCCGGTAGTTGGTCAGGAAAGGTCCCATGTAGGACAGGAAGGCAGCTGCCAGGAGACAGTCCCCGACCAGGTAGCCCAGGTCCTCCTCCAGGCCCTGGCGGACAGGAGGGAGGGTAAGCCTGCCTGGGCCCCGGCACTCTGGGAGACTCTTGGAATGCTTTTGAAGGCACCCTCCTCTGGACACTGTCTAGTTCACAGAGGTTCTTTCCTTCCCCTAAACCTTTGCGTCCTGACAACTCTAGCCTGGTTCTAATTACTTTCAAGTTCTCTATCTCTAATGGCAATGTTTACATTCTGGTGATAAGGCCCAACCCTTTTGCGAAGCCAGGAGCTCACTGAGAGCAGAAACACGATGTGCCATGTCTGTTTTCTATCTGGTCAGTGGGCTACATCAAGAGTCCTTGTGTGTGCTTCACAGCCCTATCCAAACACTGAAGCAGATCCCTAATGGTGCTAAAAGCCTTTCCTTCCATTGCTCTCACCAAAGGTGTGCAGGGGGAGGGGAAAAGCTCCCACACCTCAGTTCTTAGAGTTCCCTATACCCAGGTGTCCCGGTTTTCCCTGACTGCCCCTTAAGCTAAAAGGGATGGGTCTCTTGGAAGTGGTGAGCAGAGGGAAAGGACACCAGGTGGTATAGTCGATCTCACCTGGACTGTCTCCTCCCATCTGGCCTTCTCGCCTGCCAACCCCGACACCAGCATCCCGGCTCGCTCCAGCTTCAGCTCCATCTCTTCAGACTTCTTGCGAAGCTCCTCCTTCTGTGCCAGCTTCTCGTCGTACTGTTTCTTCAACATCTCCAGTTTCTCAGCTACCTGGGAGAGATTGGAGTTTAGTGCATCAAACACAGGGCTTGCAGCCAGATTGTTCTCGTTCACATCATGACTCTGCCATTTTGTAGCTTTGTTAATCTCTTTGAGCCTCAAAGAGATTTGTTTCCTCATGTTGTAAAAGAATACCTACTCTATAGGGTTGTCGTGAAGAGTAAATTGAGATAAAATACATGTGATGAGGTGAATTTTCTTCCCCTTCCTTCCACCACCCTTTCCTAGAAACCAGAAACTACGTGGTAGTTTCTGGGTAGCTGGGTAGGGGGCAGAGACCTCTTAAAGCATAATAAAACCACACATGAGGCAGGTGGCTCACGCCTGTAATCCCAGCACTTTTGGAGGCCGAGGCGGGTGGATCACCTGAAGTTGGGAGTTCGAGACTAGCCTGATCAACATGGAGAAACCCCGTCTCTACTAAAAATACAAAATTAGCTGGGTGTGGTGGCTCATGCCTGTAGTCCTAGCTACTCGGGAGACTGAGGCACGAGAATCGCTTGAACCCGGGAGGCAGAGGTTGGGGTGAGCCGAGATCGTGCCATTGCACTCCAGCCTGGGCAACAAGAGTGAAACTCTGTCTCAAAACCAACCAACAAACAACCACACAAGATAGATTGGCAAGTGAAGTCCAGACAACACATAAATGACTGCCACTCCATGCTAGAGGCCACACCTAAGGTGGAACCTTGAAAAGGGAAGAAAAAGCGAGAAATGAACCCAAAAGCTGTTAGAGGGAGACTCCATTCGAGACAAAGGGCTGGCTGGGTGTGGTGGCTCATGCCTGTAATCCCAATACTTTGGCAAGCCAAGGCAGAAGGATCACTTGGGGCCAGGAGCTTGAGACCAGCCTAGGCGACATGGTGAGACCCCACCTCTATTCAAAAATAGAAAATAAGAACAAAAATAAAAAGACAAAGGACCAAGTCCAAGGTCCCACACTAGAGATGGAGGCCTGGGCAGAGCTTTGTATACTAAAGAAACTCCTCTCAAGTCATTGCCATCTGTGGACTCTGTTGAGGTTGGAATGAATATATATATATATATATATATATTCACTGAAATCTGAAAGAGAGAACTGATAGAGCCTTGTCCCAAGATCTGTATATGTGTATGATCCTGTATGTATATCTGACCGGCCAACAGCAGTTGTGCCTGGATACAGACTGTATCACTGTCCTCTTCATCATGAGGAATATGGGGTGGGGGGTTACACATAGCATTTACATGATACATGTTCCCTTTCCTACTGCCACCTCACTGGGAAAGGCAGCCCACAATCGTGGAAATAGTTCCACTACTAGAAAGTAGAAGTAGCTCTGCTTTAACTGAGTGATTCTGGTAAGTTTCAACCTTTCGGAGCCTCGCCAGGGTTGCTGTGGGTAAGGGTGATGTGGGCTGTGGCATGGTGTGAGGCACACAGCAAGCAAGCCTTACCTGGCCCAAGCACTTGGAAATGGGAGAGATCACTCTCCAAAAAATATTCTTTAAAACAACGTGGAGGGCCAGGTGCGATGGCTCACGCCTGTAATTCCAGCACTTTGGGAGGCCAAGGCAGGCAGATCATGAGGTCAGGAGTTCGAGACCACCCTGACCACTATGGTGAAATCCCATCTCTACTAAAAGTACAAAAATTAGCCAGGCATGGTGGCGGGTGCCCGTAGTCCCGGCTACTCGGGAGGCTGAGGCAGAAGAATTGCTTGAACCCGAGAGGCGGAGGTTGCGGTGAGCCGAGATCCCGCCACTACACTCCAGCCTGGTGACAGAGCGAGACTCCATCTCAAGAAAAAAAAAAAAATGTGGAGATTCAAAGTGTCACCTTCTAGGGAGTGTCTGAATCTGCTGTGATTCTGGGGGCTGCCCGAAAAAATAAAAACAAGTAAAAATAAAGTGTCACCTTCCAAGGACACTAGGTTCAGCCTTGGTAGTGACCTGATAGACACCATTAACACCTAAAGAAAGAAGGTATCACTCAGGAGGCACGTGCTCATCTGGCCATTCAGAAGAACACTTGCTGGGAGCCAGCGGGGGTTGCGCTGCAACCCCACACGTGGGTGTCGGGTCTAACCCTGAGGGAGCTGATGCTTCAGGGATCTTCGCTCCAACACCTGCCAGTCACCAGGATCATGTGATCCAGCTGGGCCCGCCCTCATCACCAACATTCTGACTGTAATTTCACTTCCCGTGGAGATTTGTCAATAGGGAGGCATCCAGGCTGCTCGATAGTTCTTTTCATTTTGTTTTGTTCGTTTCTCTTTTTTTTTTTTTTTTGAGACGGAGTCTCGCTCTGTCGCCCAGGCTGGAGTGCAGTGGCCAGATCTCAGCTCACTGCAAGCTCCACCTCCCGGGTTTACGCCATTCTCCTCCTCAGCCTCTGGAGTAGCTGGGACTACAGGCGCCCGCCACCTCGCCCGGCTAGTTTTTTGTATTTTTTAGTAGAGACGGGGTTTCACCGTGTTAGCCAGGGTGGTCTCCATCTCCTGACCTCGTGATCCGCCCGTCTCAGCCTCCCAAAGTGCTGGGATTACAGGCTTGAGCCACCGCGCCCGGCGACAGTTTTTTTTTTTTATTATTATTATTATACTTTAAGTTCTAGGCTACATGTGCACAACGTGCAGGTTTGTTACATATGTATACTTGTGCCATGTTGGTGTGCTGCACCCATCAACTCGTCAACAGTTATTTTTTTTATAGACAGTTTTTTTTTTTATAGACAGTTCTATATTTCATTATTTATTTTATGTGCAGTGGTGGTGTTGTCATTGTTTATTTCTTATACAAGAAATACATGTGGCCGGGTCTGGTGGCTTATGGCTGTAATCCCAGCACTTTGGGAGGCCGAGGCGGGCAGATCACGAGGTCAGGAGTTCGAGACCAGCCTGGCCAATCTTTTTTTTTTTCCTCAAAAAAAAAGAAAAAGAAAGAAAGAAAAGAAAAGAAATACATGCACGAGATTAAAACCTAAATGACGTAAAAGAGGTTACAGGAAAAGTAGCATCTAGACCATCTTTCCCACAGCCAGACTTCTTCCTCTGAGGCAAACTACTTTGTTTATTTTGAGACGGAGTCTTGTTCTTGTCACCTAGACCAGAGTGCAATGGCACAATCTTGGCTCACTGCAACCTCTGCCTCCTGGGTTCAAGCGATTCTCCTGCCTCATCCTCCTGAGTAGCTGGGATTACAGGTGTGCACCACCACACCTGGCCAATTTTTGTGTTTCTAGTAGAGGTGGAGTTCACCATGTTGGCCAGGCTGGTCTCAAACTCCTGACCTCAGGTGATCCTCTGGCCTCGGCCTCCCAAAGTACTGGGATTACAGGTGTGAGCCACCGTGCCCAACCATGGCAAACTACTTTTTAACCACTTTTTTTTTAATTTATGCTGGTTGTTACTTCCATATCTCTGAAAAATATGCATATGCCTCTATTTTTAAAGTATGCTAATCTCTTTGGAGCTTTAAATTTTTAAAAATTATTATGAAAACTTTTAAACCTAGAAACACCCATCAGCTAGATTTCACAGTTAGCATTTTGCTATATATATTTCATCTACTTGTTTTTTGCCAAAGTATCTTAAAGTAAATTTAAAACTCATGAAATCTCAAGCCTAAATACTTCATAACACATCTCTAAAAGTAATAATAATAAGGACATTTTTCTGCATAACTACAACACTATTATACCTAATAAAATCTTTGTCATATCTCAGAAAATAATTTTTACTACCTGTGATTTTTTTTTTTTTTTTGAATAGTGAATATATTTACATAAATCAAAATCCAAAAGGAACAAAAGTGCATATGGTGAAGGGGAAGTCTTCCTGCCATTCCTGAGCCTGGTCCCAGACCCTGCCCTGGTTTCCCATGTACCTTCTAGAATAGTCCATGCACAGAATTGTTTATATATAAAGAAAACAAGCACGGTGAAGGCAGGGACTTGTTCACCACTGAATCCTTAGACCTAAAATAATGCCCAGCACTCACATATTTTTTTGAATAAATATATATCTTTTTTTTTTTTTAGACAGAGTCTCATACTCTCGCCCAGGTTGGAGTGCAGTGGCGCCATCTTGGCTCACTGCAACCTCCACCTCCCAGGTTCAAGCTATTCTCCTGCCTCAGCCTCCCAAGTAGCTGGGATTACAGGCGTGCACCACCACGCCCGGCTAATTTTTGTATTTTTAGTAGAGACACGGTTTTAACATGTTGGCCAGGCTGGTCTCAAACTCCTGACCTCCAGTGATCCACCCGCATCAACCTCCCAAAGTGCTGGAATTACAGGCATGAGCCACTGTGCCCGCCCTGAATAAATGAATTTTTAGTCAGTGGTTCTATGCTATAACACTGTACTTTACTATTTTTTTTTTTTTTGCTTGTTTCCAAATCAGTTCTTGTGAGCTGCCTCATTGTTTTTAGCAGCTGCAAAATACTCTTGTGTGAGATTGAACTATGATTTATGTAACAAGTCTCCTACGGATACACATTTGTGTTTTTCCAACATTCTGCTATTAACAATGCTGTAATAAATATCCGTGTACAAGGCCGAGCATGGTGGCTCACGCCTGCAATCCCAGCACTTTGGGAGACAGAGGCAGGAGGACTGCTTGAGGCCAGGAGTTTGAGACCCCTGGCAGCACAGCAAGACCCTGTCTCTACACGCCCCCCCCTAAAAAAAAAAACTACAAAAGAAAAAAAAGTAATTCATGTACAGGCATAAGCACATCTTCACACTGTTATTTCTTATTCCTTTAAATTTTGTTTACTTTGTGAATTTTTGAATAGCTATCAAAAATTCAAAAGGTCCAAGGGCGTGAGGGTATGAAAAGTCTTCCTTCTAACCCTGTTTCCCACTCAGCCAGGTTCCTTCTTTAGAGGCAGCCAGTGTTACCTGTTTCTTGACTCTCCTTCCAGAGGTATTCTATACATATACAAGCATAGTCTATAGTGCTGCTGCCTGGTGTATCCATTTTAGGCTATTTCTTTCTTTCTTTTTT